CACATAGTTGAAAGACTGTCAAGATGATTCTTTGAATACATCGCAAGAGCTATGTGCCCTCATTGTTTATGGCACAAGTCTCCACTTCACCATACCAAATGCTTGATCTCCATGATCTTTCTTGAATTTTATTCGTTGCTTGTAGGCAGCAAGTCAGGTCTGTCTGTATTTTTTCTTAATTTAGGATAGTTTCTGTCTCTGGTGATTCAGATTTAATACTCATTATTCCAGTACTTTAATAATACACTAACGGTATTTGCTGCCTGCAAAATATGTGAGTTGCGTCATAGCAAATATCCTGGCAATAAATCGTCCCATGATGCTTGACTCCTGTCTCTCTATCAAAAGAACTGGCATTAGATAGAGACATATGGCCCTGTGTTTTTCGTTTTTATCCTGGCATCCCGTATGCATTTAGAAGCAGTATAGTAATTGCTAATCTTCCCAGCTTAGGGTTCCTGCATATTCCTATTGAAATGGTTTCTGAAGGGGCTTTTTGTAAAACTTCAGTCATTTGTTCGTCTGCTAAAGCTTATAAACCTTAGTCCTGCTTGAGGTAGCTTGTAGGTCAATGTGAGTCACCATTCTGTACAGTTATTTAATGAATGACCAGAATGATATTTGCTTGCATTGGTCTCGAGTGTAAGCTCTGCCAGAGCTGCTTGTGTCAGGAATGCTGTCAATGTGAGAATGAGCTCTTTTGCCCTTTTTTATATTGAGCTAATGCCATTGTCAATTAATGTATTGCCATGTCTCTTCCTCCTGTAGGAACAGGAAGAGAAGATAGAGGAATTAACATCTGAGTTGGCAAATGCAAGTCTGCAATGTGAAGAATATCGAAAAAAATTACTCGTAGTTTTGAAAGACATGGAGGAACAGAAGTTGAAAATATCGGTAAAGGTTCAGAACATGAGGCTCAATCTAAAAGGCTGAATGGAAGGTCCAATGTCATTCCTCCCCCCTGTAATATAGTGTAGCATAGCGGATTTTATTTTCTGTATATTATTGGGTAAAGTTCTTCCCCTTCAACCCCGACCTGTATCATCTAAGCTTGGAAGACCACACTATTCTCAAAATTTTCCCCTTTGAAAGGAATAGGAAAGTACTCACCGTGGCAGGTCAACGGATGTAAAGTTAGAATAACTTTGTAATGTGCGAAGATAGGACGTTACAGAATTTAGGTGGTGTGAACGGTGGCTGTTCATTGTAATTTAGCCAGGTAATCCCCTCTGCACAGCCTACTTGTATCAGTTTCGTATAGTTGAAAATCTAACAGGTTTTGTGACGCATGAGTGCATGATTACATTATTGTGGAATATAAATGGCAAATGCTGTCGATTTCACAGATTTGATTAATGAAATTGTGATATGCTCTTTCCATATGGAGAAGGCCTGCCACTACTTGCTTGCTTATCATTCACTGGCAAAGACAGCGGCCTCTGTTGCCTGCGGGAGCTGCTTCCAGATGTTGCCAATAAGTGCGTTTATGAACTTTCGGATGTTTCCTGCATTCTGTCTATAAAGCCTGATCACTCGGTTTTCGAGTTCCATTGTGTCGATGGAGGTGTTTGTCTACTGTCCCGGGCGACAATTTTCCAGTAACGAAGAATGCGTTCATGGAAGCGGCACCAGATTGATGAACAAGAAGAATGTGTTGAAACGAAGTGCTTGTCGAGTCGACAACGGTATCCTAAATGTAATCTGAAAGGCTTACTACAATTGGTGCATCATTTTACCTGGCTGATTAAATTTGACGTCATCAAATCAATTGAAGCTTCCTCATCTCATAGATGATCCGTCTGAAATTGTGGAGCCAAGTGGTGTCGGCCAGTCGGGTAGGATCCGTCGATGTCGTGGTAGCGAAAGTAATTACATCCCAAAAAGGTTGGTCTTTTGCTTGGTCAGTGTAATTAAAGAGTCGTTAAGGAGGTCGGGCAGCCAAAGTCAATCAAAAAAACCCGATAGCCAAAGTTAATCAAGAAAACCGATGATTGCGTTATCATGACGTAGAGATCCGAATTATTACGACATGATAATAAGAACACCGGGTAATACTAGAACGACGCAAAGATGATTCGCATTTTCCGACCACGTGTAGAAGATCGACAGCTCCAAGTACGTAAGACAGAGAAAAAGGATCCGCGTTGGTTTGTTGAGGGCTTTTACTAATTCTGCTGCAATGCTGCTGCTCGTGCCGTGTGGTCTACGCATTGCATCGTGCTTTTTTATTGCTTGTTTATACAATGACCTTTTGTAGCCACAAACATGGACTCGCGACATTTTTTCTTTATGATGGAGCGTCATTAGGTATGATAATACTTTTTTTCTTTTGACCAAATGCATAAGAAGTTAATTAAACAAGCTAATGAATCCGTTGAAATTGAAGCGCGAAATGACTGCAATTATATGAAGCGTGTATACAATTAATATATGATCTGCACTGCCGTGTACAGCCCTCTTGTGTGCAATGACGGGATCAATCGCCAGCAACGCTTCGCCGGACGTCGTATATACCAATTCTAGTGTCATCCCTACTACCAGCGCTGCCATTGAAATTTTCCCTTTTTATTTTTTTTTTTTTCGGAGGAGGGATATGTAGTAGCACCGGGTGGGTACTTTCATAGTTAGCAGTAAATCATCAACATGTAAGAGATCAATAACTACATTCATCTCGTGATTCTTCGATGGTGAATGATAACGCACCAATTTTTGGAGTATAAACTTTCAAATCTTTTGAGTGATGAATTAATTGTGTTTCTTATCTTGTTCTATCAGATCATCTTCATTTGATTAGACCAGCAAAAGAAGCATTGGATAAGACACACCCTCAATTGTTAAAATCTCTTCAAAATTTAACAATTGTCCCTTTAAGATTAACATTGAGAAGTAGCATATATAATCCTTGTTTCTTCTATCTTCCTTTTTGTTGACATTAACACGTTCTAGTTTAGAGTGTTCGCTTACACATGATCTAATTTGTCTAGACAAATTAGACTTGGAATTAGATTATGTCGAAATAGATAGTTGGTCATAATCAAACATGCTCTTCATATAATCTATGTTACCGGAATCATATTTAAGCCCTAAAAGCTAAAAAATAAACATTTCTAGTGCGCCGGGAAACAAAAGACGGAGAAGGCGGAGCTTATTTGATCAGTATAATCACCATTATGCCTGAGTTTCAACCACCATCTCGTGTGGCAAATTTTCTGCGCAACAAATTGCCAGTAGCTTCGAACTCTTCAAGCGATTCAATGTCATTGAACTTAAAAATCAGCGGCCACAAGAAAAAGCATCACCATAACCCAAGACGATTATACTCACTTGCATTTCCAGGAGAATTCTGGACCCGAAGATCGACTTAACATTTATGAAATTTCAGAAACTTGTGATTCTCTCCAAGACAAAAGAGTTACAGCTGAATTGTGGTTACACCATGACTGTTATTACAGCTCACTATCCCTCCAAAAAGAAAGCTTCAGGTTACCAGTCCTCTATATTATAAGCACAAGAGTGCCTCCATCTCCTGTTTGGCTTTTCTTTCCTTTATCAGTTAGTATTGATCGATTTGTTTTGATTTTCACTTCAAAGCCGTATCCAACGGAATCATAAAGGTTATTTGAGAAAAGAAAAACTCGGTTCCAACTTGTAAGCCATGGCCCAATCTGCAACTCGTCTGGGGGTCCCATGAAAGTCAGGCTCATTCTAAAACCTTCTCGAATCCTCATTCTCATTCTAATGTGCCATCTTGCTTCCAGGAAAGGGCATGTATTTGATTGGGTTATTTCATGAGAGAGAGAGAGAGAGAGAGAGAGAGAGAGAGAGAGAGAGAGAGAGAGAGAGAGAGAGAGAGAGAGAGAGAGAGAGCATGCATGCACAAACAAGCAGACAAATATCTTGGAACTAATAACCCCTAATATGCTTTGTAACTTATGTATCAAGGTAAGAAAATCACTTGGAACCAACCCTCTAAGAAAACTTATTCATCTTGTAGTTGTCAATGGGCACAAAGCAAAGGATTGCATTTCAACTTGACGAACTTCCAAGCCAAGAGCAAGATAAAGAAAAGATAAAAAGAAAAACAAAAGGCCAGAAAACAGTAAAGACCAAGACCTCTACTTTTCTTCAATATAGAAGAGTATATCTCACGATACGAGACCATGCATTTCTAGAACTAGCCAAAGTTAAGATGGACTGACCAACCAAAGTCGATGCAATTCCCAAGAAGTTCATATTTTAGTCTTTCTTCCCCACCCCTTTTCAATTTTCAATGCAATAAATTCCAACTACGACTCTCAAAGCAATTTCTTCGGTTGCGCAACTCAAATTGGAATTGAATAGGTGGAGGGCTATTTCGTTTGCATATCAGGGATCGGAGTAATCATCTAGACCGTCGAAATGCAAACATTAATTAGGTTTGGAAAAGGACTTCCATCATTGGCCACTTGTACGTAACAATAGTCTCAAAAGGCAATAGTAGTTTACTAAGTGATACGATAAGTCTTTTCAGTGACGGAACGTCTCACTTGATCATTAATCATTCGTGTAGATTGTACCCCCTTAATTAGCAAATCAAGTCTGATAGAGTTTATCTGGATTGCGCTTAATATAGTGAGTTTCAATGCTTCCTAAAAAACCCTTCAACTTCATTTGTAGCTGACAAAGAGAACTTCCTTCTCAGAATTCAAACAATTAACCTTCGTATTACGCAGCGTTTGTAAGCCACTCAACATACAAAAGATCAGGAGGTTTGGATGGTACTTGAAGTTTCCCATAATTTTCTCTAACAATCAGAACTAGGCTTTATCTTATCTCTAATATAAGAGATGAGAAACAAACTTATATTTTGCTTCTGCAGCTTCTTTAATTAATCAACTAATTAACCAGAGCCACCAAATCAAAGATGAAATTATAATATTGAAGCACCACGAAAACAACTTGTAATTTGTGTCTATGCTCGGGATAAATTACTTCCAATCATAAAATCAACAGAATGGTAATGAAGAAGAAAAACTTCATATTATATAGTGCTCATCCCACTTGCCAATGCTCATGTCTATCCTTGTTAAATAATTGCAATACATTATAGAAGCATTCTCGATGTCAGGCAAACCAAGTACTGCACAAGCGATAGGAACGCTATCATATACCCTAGAAAATGTGCATATCTTATATCACTTTTTACATTCACAACTAGCAAAATCATTTCAACCCCTTGAAAAAGGATCATCAGAAGCCGAGAGAGCGTGAATAAAACATGAAGAGAAAATCCCACAGATGGGTTGATGAGTCTGCAGATGAACTTACCCCAAGAGTGAAGATTAATCTCTCCAAAATCAGCAGTGGGGTTCTCTTCATTTTCATCATCCTATAACTCCAAGGCCTTCTCCAAGAAATGAATTTTTTGTTTTTCCCCTCAAATCTCCTCCTAAATTCTCCTTCATGGAGCATTGAGAGAGAGAAGACCTGATTTCATAATTTACTCCATGTCACACTGATAATCATTGATAAATTATAGTTATAACACTAGCTGCCAACAACCTCATCGAGGTCAGCCCTTGATATAGCTCAAAAATAACTCAAGCTAAAATGGAGGCCTAGCAGCATTTCCTCCCCATCCAAACAACTGATCACCTGAAAATGGGAAGTTTCCCACATTAAACATTGGAACACCAACACCGGCTCCGCCTCCGATGCCGCCGCCGCCACCTGCTCCGCTCCCATCGCCCGCCTGTCCACCTCCGGTGACACCTGACGACTGAGATGCCGTCTGTTGGACTTGGATGGCCCCGTCGTCTTCTTCGATTGGCAACCTCTCAAAAACAGCATTAGCGAAGGATGCAGCCATCAAAACCACCGGCCCAGATGCCACCAGCTGACCCACCACGCTCCCTCCCACTACCTGCCCCTGGCCGCCCGACAAGAATATCGACAACCCGCCCGCTCCGGGTGGCGCGGGGGGCGGTAGCACCGTTCCCGTGAGGGATAGTATCTCGAACCTCCCGTGCAGTGTCACCACGCTCCCGGTGGGGGCTGCCGGCTGCCGGAGAGTGACATTTGCCACAGTCCCCCCGCCGCTGAGCACGCAGATGCCTCTACCCCTCTGGCGGGCGTAATTGGTCACGCTCTCGACGATGTCTGAACCTGAAGAAACTTCAAGGACGTGTGACCGGAGGGCGTTCGGGCTGTCTCGCGTGACGATGATCGGAGGCTTCGCCTTGTTCTTGGAACCGGGAGGGCGGCCTCTAGGGCGGCGCGTGGGGCCGCCGGAGCCGCTATTGGTGCCGCCCTCGCTGTCGGTGGACTTGGGGTCGTTTTGGGGCGAGTCTTTGGGATCAGAGTGTTGTGGAGGGATCGAGGAGGGTCTCTGAAGGTGCAGTTCAGGTCTCAAGAGTTGGTGGAAGTAGCGAGAGTTCGGGTTTGGCTCAAAACCTGCCATCATACCCACATCCACTCTTCTTGAATTCCCTTAGACAAAAGAAATCACTTTTTTCCCCTTCAAATCCACGTCGAAAAACACATGATTTTCGGAAGTTGGCTTACCGGTAGCAATTAGTTGCTGGTTTTATATGTGTGTATGAACTTGCCTGAGCTTGAATTATATGTACTTCACAAAGAGAATCGATCGGCAAAACGACTGCATTCACATTCGAATCACCCAATGAACAGCAGACAGAAAGATTGCTGCAACAAGAGCGATCCTACCGATATGTATGCGTAACTTGCTTTCTGGCAGACCAGGATATGATGAGCCAACGGAAACCTAGCAAGGCTTGAGAGAAATCTTCAAAGGGTTACTCTTTTCTTGAACGATGGATTCTTATTTTTCCAGCAAGATCTTGAGAGAACTAACCAAGAAAGAAGCCGATCAGAGTTTATGTGGAGCGACCCAGAAAACAAGAGGCAAGAATAAGAGAGCCTTGAAGATGAAGGAAGAAGCCGAAGAGAGCAGATTTGTCCGTGAATTTTCTCCGCAGTGCTGCTGCGGGAGAGAGAGAGAGAGAGAGAGAGAGAGAGAGAGAGAAGGAGAGGAGAATAGAAAGTAGAGAAGAGAGAGAGAGAGAGAGAGAGAGAGAGAGCAAAAAAGAAAAAGGAAGAAGGTGAGTATAAATGATTTGTTTATGAGGATCCACGCGCTTAAATATGTTGGGAAATGAGAAAATATTATCGAATTGAAAAATTAATGAAACCAAATATAATAAAAGTATGACGATGAGAAAATGGTGGAATCCAAGAATTTTATCAAGGTCAAACAAACGACAAATCAAAATCTTTTGTAAAGAGCACATAGCGTTCATTCGTCCACGCTCAAGAGTAGGTTCAATTTGTAGCAATTAATTATTCGTCTGGATTATCATTATCTTTTTTAAAGCAAGTTTCTTACGAGCTTGCGCAAAAGAGATCATGAGCATATATAATATAAGCCCTAGACATATATGACCCAAAATAAAATGACTAGTTTTTATTTTTTGGTAAAATTAACAAAAACCTAACCCGAGTGACATAATGGGAAACGAATCTGATAAAATGTTCTTTTATAGCACACATGGAATTTAATTATTTAATGAAAGTATATATGTGTTTTGATGATGTTATTAATAATGAAAGCTCCCACAAATGTTTGAGCTGTTATTATCAATTGCTAGTTTAGATTAGTTGTGGAATTAGTGTATCCAAATCACCCAGAAGGTTATAATTAATCAGATATGTAAAGACAAACTCAACACACCGCATTGAACAGAATGACATCGGACAGCTGAAAAATATCAATTCGAGTTCAACTCAGTTTCATGTTCTCAACTCAATTTTTTTCTTTTTCGCGATAGAGGTTAGAAGATATCTTTCACGGATCAGAATATTTAAGCAACATTTTATCGTATGTGAAATTCACTCTTAATAGACCCTTCCTTTAGGCAAATTATGGGCACATTTTGTGGCATTTCTTGTTCATCAACATACACATGCGGATCCAATGATTAAAAAACCTCCACAAAAAAAAAGACGAATGATGCTTTCCATGCGCCCGGTTTGGAACTTGTCTACTTTTTGCACGTATGGGACATATACAAATGATTTTACATGAAATTTACCTCCTCCTCAACAGCACATGATTTTCATAAAACTTTACCATCATCCTTCGCGAATAGCTCTATTTAATACATGAGCAAATACCACAAAAAAATTTTAAATTATGCCCACTATGATACTAATACCCCAAAATTGTTTTTGTTTCCCCAAAAACCCTAAACTTTCTCACCGTGATACAAATACCCTCAACTTTTTTTTGTATCAGGAAAAAATCCAAACTTATACATGTGTGACATATATACTCTCTATTTCAGCTCCATCTAGGGTATATTTGTCACATTGGTATAACTTCGAGGTTTTTTACGACACAAAAAAAAAAGTTCGGGGGGTTCGTATCACAATGGGAAAGTTATAAGGTTTTTAGTGACACAAAAAAAATGTTCGGGGTATTTCTGTCACAATGAACATAATTTGGGATTTTTTGTAGTATTAACACTTTAACATTAGACATAATGGTTGCTAGCTACGCATAATATATATATAAACAATTTTTAGTAATATGGTGAAATTTGAATATATGATACTAAAGTTGATCGAATTCTTGTACAAGTCTTATCCTTTCTCATTCGAACAAAAGCAAGCGCAGCACGTCGAGGACTCAGGAGAAGGAGGAGAGGGATCGCGTGCGCGACCTCGCACTTCGTTCGGACACAAATGTCTCGATCGTTCCACGCAATGACGACGGATCTCCATTCTCTTCCTTCACACAATCCGAAGAATCGTCAAAACGTGTTTTTGCGGGCGCACACGCATCAGTTTTGGCCAAGCGATCAGGGTTCACAACTAACCTTTGCTTCGTGGCGTGCATTGTATTGGAAAGAACAGCATCATACGATGATGTGATAGGCACAGATATGAGATGAGTTTCCGTGCGCTGATGAACGTTTCCTTTTTCTTCCATTTTCTTTGGCGATGGAGTGAGCGAAAGCCCGATTTCGCTGGAGACTTTTGAACCTTGAGCTGACACGGTCCCGGCACGCGCACGTGCGTGCCCCCCGGGGGGAGGGGCACGTGAGGTCAAAAGGTCAGAGGGGGAGGACGTGTCAGACCACGTGGAGGATGTCGGGGGAGCATCGGAACTTGGTCAACCTTATCTCTCTCCCCCGCCCCCCTCCCCGACTCCCGACCCGCCCCTCTGGCTTAAATCCCGCGCGTCTTTGGCGGCAACTTCCGTCGTCAAATAATCATGCACTACATCACAGATGCAGCAACCAGAAAAAAAGGAAAAAAGGAAAATAGAAGAGCACAAAGAAATAATGAAGGGCATAATAATAATAACAGCAGTGTTAATCATAAGAAAATGAGTTTATGTCGTTATTGTCGATCAATATATGGATACAAGCTAATAAACTTGAGAACTGTGAATTCAACACGTCAAGCTCTTAAATTGCAAGCTGAAATTTTCTTTGCCGTACCTATAGTCCTTAAAAAACTTAGTATCTAAAGAAACATGATCATCTACGAATGGGATGCTCGTAAATCTTCTCAAGAAATAACACGTAATTATTACTCGAACCAAGCCATGTAATCATGAAGTTGAATAGTCGCGTTGAATACTCTCCATTATTCCTCGACACCATTTATGGATGATTTCGCGGTAAATTTACTATGGGATACTTTAGGGTGCCTTTATTTCGCCGAAAATAAATAATTTGAAAAATATTTTTTTTAAATGATCGCTCGCATCGCTTATATATAAGAACGAATGAAAGAAAAATATATTTATTGTCCACTAAAAATATTCAACATAAACATTTGTTGATAATGAAAATAAAAATTATTGATTAATTGTTTTAAATGATACAGAGCGATTATTTGAAGAAAAATATTTCAAACCATCGTGAAACAGAAGAAGCCTTAGTCAATAATCTCGAATCACTCCTGGGTTTTACTTAGATAACCCACTTGGTCAAATTTGAAGGAGATACTTATGGCATGACAAATTCAGGTAAAGAAAGAGAAAAAGAAGAGAGAAACCCTAGTTTCCCGTTGTCGCCAAAAGGACCCGCAAGGACACGACGGGTTGCAACAACCCCATCCGCAGAATTATGGAGGCCGGGAGAGTGGGACGTCCATGCACGGAACAGTATCGGTGTGACGCACCACCGCCCACCAAAACATGTGGAGAATCCAAAAGACTCCAATCTCTGGAAAAATTTTCTTTCATTCAATCCGGAACAATACTGTCAGGGTCAAGTTGCCAATGTGGTCGACAGTGAGTGACTGATTAGATTTTTGCCTTGAATGGCATTTTCTTCTGTTCAACCAATTTGTTCGCAGCCCACTATCTGTACTGTGACGCACACAGCAGATACTGATTGATGCTTTCACCAGATTTTAAGCATTGCGGCTACACTAATACTGCACGAAGTGCCCTTCCCATCTTTCCAAGGGTTAAGTTTGATTGATTGAGTGGTGGGGAAGAGATGTCTTCGTTTTTTAAGCGATTAAGTTGCTCCACTTTGCATGCATGTCCTCTCTGGGGTATCATGTGTTCACTTCCTGGCGAGTGATGATTTGGGATACAGGATGCAGGACAAGCGAAACTTGTTAATCATGCAGTGTCTAGGGTTAAGTTGGGTAAGCTTTTCATCTTGGAACTTTTTACATGAAGACTTGGGTTAGGTTTACACTTGACTAATATGGAAGGAAACGCACTGCAGCTTCAGATAAGATGCCGAATGCCAATCGAAGTTCTTGAGAAACACTTGTTTTCTTATCACCAACCATGTGTAGATAATTTTGTCGTCGCAAAATGTTAAAGAACTATATACTTCTGTTTCGTCGTTATGGACAAACTTGCTCTGATGTGAGTTTTGCCCTCATGCATACGATGAGAATCTACTTGTAGTTTTTTTCTTTAAATTGAGTATTTCATGGAGTCTCTGTTTTTTATTTTTTTTACTGAGGATGAATAGAATATATTGGTATTAATCATGTGAAGTTTGTACTTACGCGATTCTGTCCAAAGTAGTTGACTAGAATGTCTAATGACTGGATAGGGGGATCCTACCAAAGCTAATTTTGACGGATTGGAAAGGGACTCCAATCACATCACAACTCAACCATGCAAATATCAAATTGCAGCAAAGCACATAATTATTAGCTGGCTAGGGTTATCGATCCATCTAAACGTGCACGACTTTTCTGGCCGTGGCATCTTCACACAGCAGCCGTGCAAATGGACGCGACGTCGGAAGGCTCACCAAAAAAGAACAAAAATGAAGGTAGTCTTCTTTCGATGCGAAATAATATTAAACTAATCGGTGAATAATTCCTTATATAAATAATTCCATTTTAACTTCTTTTTAGGTCTGGTGATAGGTCTTGAAAATGCTTTCAACTCGTGATCGATCGAGTGCATAGTTTGACTAGGAACAAGTACTCTTCTCCAACGTGACTGTCATGCCTAAACAAGACCCAAACGTACGATCGATCAAGTCTCGAAGCCACCATCTCATCACCAAGTAGCTTATAAACCAAGCATTAGGGTAATGAACTTGGCGAGCATCGTCAGCCGGAGACATCCGTCAACATAATGCATAACTTTATGGCAAAGGCGTCTTCAAAGAGAGCTACGCTCATGCAGACGCCCGTCGACATGTCGATGAAATTAACGAGTCGACTTATGTAAAAAGACGATTACCACGTAATAATAATCACCGTATATTTTGACTTTTTTCGTGCGTAACATTAAATGAATCTAAAAGGATAATTTGTTGTCTAAAAGAAAGTTGAAAAACTTTGTGAGAAAGCCCGTTCTTCTTCTATCAATAAGAATCTATGGGGTGATGATGTCACATTTCAAGTCTCGTGCTTTCATGATATTTTTATCTTCATTGATGGAGGGGGGTATCAAATTAAGCACTAGGTAGGTGATTAGCCAATGCTCCCTATTTCCGTCAATGACATGTAATGTCAGCATCCAATCCCCACCCAAGTTGAGTTTCTGGGGGTGGGGCTC